TACACAAAACTACATCAACTATAGGTCGAACCATAATCTCATACCTCATGTTTTAAAAATTGCAAGTTATACCTCATCTTTGAATTTGTTGCAATGTCAGACATCCGTTAATTTTTATGTCAATTTGATAGTTAAATGGTGATGTGGCAGGTGGGGTCTGCTCCTTATATTGATTAAAAAAATAAAAAAATAAAAAATATTAACAAAGTTAAAATTAAAAAATAGGGCCCACTCCTTCTATTAATTAAAAAATAAATATTAAACGAACTTAAAAATTAAAAAAGAAGCCCACTCCCTTCTTCTCCACCAACCTTAGAGCAACTCCAACCCTATCCTTTAGGCTAGCACCAAAAAAAAATCCCTCCACCCCTAAAAATAGGCCAACCCAAAGTCCAAGCCAGTTTGTAGGCTGCCCTATTTGGCGTCATGCTGACATTAGCATGACATCAGCTGACAGCACAAATTTTTTTGCATCAGGCGCGTGGGAAACAAGCGCATGTGGGCATGCAAGAAACATGTGCGTGTGGGCACGAGTCCCCAACAAGGCGACATGCACCGAGCCTGCACTGTAGGTGCACTAAAGGGGCACGGGACATGGCCCACGTGGCTAAAGCCTTGGCCGTTGGATTTCCAAAGGTACAAAAAATTTGAAATTCAAACCCAATGGCTAGTGATGTGGCACAATCTGTACCGTTCGATTTTCAGATCAATGGTCCATATTTTTTGGCAAAAAAACTTTATAAATAAATAAATAAAATGTTAGAAATTAATAATTTTTTTATAAATAAAGAAAATGTCAGAAATTAAAAATAAATTAATATTTTATATTATTTTATAATAAAAAATTAATAATATTTTAATAAAATTGACTATGTTATTTAGTTTTAGGGGTGGAGATGCACTTGACCAATTACTATTCAATGCAGTAAATTAATATTCATTTGGGTGGATTAAATGGACTTTGGGGCAGCTCATTTTTTAGGTGTGGAGTTGCTTTTAGCCAAACCATGCCTCTCCATCTTTCTCTCTCCCCACTCACCAACATGACAAAACCTAACAAACTTGAAGCTGTCGTCGCTACCACCCCCCAAGCGGTCCAAACCCAAACACGTTAGTCAACCACCAAAACCTAAACCCCGTTTCGAGCCTGACCCATTAGAACGGGTCTAAGACCATTGCTCGGTTTGAGGAGTACAAGGAGGTCATGAAGTCAGGGTCCCAGGTCAAGTCAAAGGGAGGCCCAGTGCGAGGAGGAGAATGCGCTGTGCGTCGTGGACGGAAATGAAGTCATGCGGTTCCAATGTCTTGGTCCCGGTGTCAGGGTGTACGAATCGTGCAGCTGCGTATGGGGGTTTCACGGTGGAAAGGGGAAAGCAATTTATACGTATTCCGGTGTGGCCCATGAGAGTGCGGATGTGGGTGGGGTAGGGAAGGATGGCGACACTAGTTTACTGGTTTATTGCAGGTCAGATTTCGAAGTAGATGAAGCTGATGCTGGTTTATCAGGGTGGCCGAAGGAAGCACAGAGTGGTAAATAAAGGAAGGGAGGAGGACGTGGGGGACGAAGGAAGAAAGAAAGGTGGATGGGTTGGTGGGGGTAGGCCCCCATTTTATTTTATTTAAATCTTTTTCCATAAGAAAGTATTTTTTTAAATATATTTATTTTATAATTTATTTTTACCTACATGGCATAATTAATTGCTACATTATTAAAAATATAGGCAATTGACTTGTCACGTCATCACTTAACAATCAGCCTGATGAATTGACTGACGGAGGTACAACTAGGGATTGGCACGAGCCAGATAGAAGGATTTTGAGTTTTGGAAGAGATGATCATGAAGGGAGGACCTATGAGACATACAGTTAGACTTTTGAAATATAAGTCATACACCCATAAAGTGGGATCATGTTTTCATTACCCGTATTAATTCGAAAATCCGTATTTCGTGCAATTTTCATTCAATTCAAGAGTCATATAGTTTCGTTTTCTTTTTATTTTTTTGCAGAAGTGATCTTGAAGGGATAACCTATGAGATGTACATTTGGATTTCACAAATATAACTCATAGACCCATAAAGTGGGATGATGTTCTCATTACCCGTATTAATTCAAAAACTTGTATTTCAGGCACTTTTCTTTGAATTCAAGAGTCATATAGTTTCATATCCTTTTTATTTTTGGTAGAAATGATCTTGAAGCGAAGACTTATGAGATGTATAGTTGGATTTTTGAAATATAACTTGTAGACCCATAAAGTGGGATGATGTTCTCCTTACCCGTATTAATTCGAAAAATCTATATTTTGGGCACTTTTCTTTCAATTCAAGAGTCATATAGTTTCGTAGTCTTTTTATTTTTTGCGGAGGTGATCTTAAAGGGATGACATAAGAGATGTATAATTGGATTTTTGAAATATAACTCATAGACACATAAAGTGGGATGATGTTTTCATTACTTGTATTGATTTGAAAATCTGTATTTCGGGCACTTTTCTTTCAATTCAAGAGTCATAGAGTTTCGTTTTCTTCTTATTTTTGGCATAAACAATTGTGAAGGGAATACCTATGAGATGTACAGTTGGATTTTTGAAACATAACTTGAAGACCCATAAAGTGGGATGATGTTATCATTACCCGTATTAATTCGAAAATCTATATTTCGGACTCTTTTCTCTCAACTCAAGAGTCATATAGTTTTATATTGTTTTAATTTAGGTAGAGATGATCTTTAAGGGATAACCTATGAGATGTACAATTGGATTTTTGATACATAACTCGTAACCCATAAAGTGGGATGATGTTCTCATTAACCGTATTAATTCAAAAATCTGTATTTTAGGCTATTTTCTTTCAATTCAAGAGTCATATAGTTTCATATTCTTTTCAAAGATGATCTTTAAGGGACGATCTACGAGATGTACAGTTGGATTTTTGAAACATAACTCGTAGATCCATAAAGTGGGATGATGTTCTTGTTACCTGTATCAATTTGAAAATCTATATTTTGGGCTCTTTTCTTTCAATCTTACAGCCTAAAAGTTTTGTATTCTTTTTATCTTTGGCAGAGTTGATCTTTAAGGGATGAACAATGAGATGTACAATTGGATTTTCGAAACATAACTTGTACACCCATAAAGTGGGACGATGTTTTCATGACCTATATTAATTTGAAAATCTGTATTTCAGGCTTTTTCTTTCAATTCAATAGTCTAAAAGGTTCGTATTCTTTTTATTTTTGGTACAGATGATATTTAAGGGATGACCTATGAGAAGTACAGTTGAATTTTTGAAACATAACTTGTAGACCCATAAAGTTGGATGATGTTCTCATTACTCGTATTAATTCGAAAATCTGTATTTCGGGCTCTTTTCTTTCAATTCAAGAGTCATATAGTTTCATATTCTTTTTATTTTTGGTAGAAATGATCTTGAAGGGAAGGCCTATGAGATGTACAATTGGATTTTTGAAATATAACTTGTAAACCCATAAATTGGGATGATGTTCTCCTTACTTGCATTAATTCGAAAGCTGTATCAACACCATGATTATATCCATTGAGCATTAATATTATACTGTATATATATTGTCTCTTGCTAATTGCTATATATGTAAATGGTTCCAAGACTCCACGCAAGCAGTCTAGATTCACTATTGAATTAATTCATAACAAAGAAAAGTAGAAAAAGGAAGATCGAGGAGTCTAGATTCATTTCCTCTAACAAGATACAATCAACTTCTCTTTAGATATTTATATATTTCTTAAAAGAGCTTGTCTCTAATTAGCAGTCCCTAACGTACATTGTGTTCCCAATTAAGGTACCAAGGCACAACGTATTGCCTTTATTTGAGTATGAATGCTTGAGGTATTTGACCATTGTCTATGTCACAATTCGATATTTTCTTTATATTTGTGCCTAATGAAGGAGAGAAATTTATCTATAACAAAAATGTAACTACGGAAATATAAGTCAACTATGCACTATTCAAGAGAATTATTGCGTAGTTAGCTTGACACACCAAGAAAGTTGGGGTTTCACCATAAAATCAATTAGCAATATGGAGAGTAACTCACTTACCTGGAAGCACATGTAAGGTCCTAACTCTCATCATTGTGGGATTCACTCTTAATACGCCCCTCCACATGTAGCAAGTTTTCAAGTCTAACACTCATTAATGTGGGATTCACTCTCAATACGCTCCCTCACATGTGGCTAATTTTCAAGTCAAACACGTGGAACAACCTGGCTCTGATACCATAAACAAAATTGAGGTTACACCATAAAACCAATTGGCAATAACGAGAGTAACCCACCTACTTATAAACACATAGAAGGTCCATCATCTCATCAATGTAGGATTCTCAACAACACACACCATTCCATTGGTATAACCCCATTGGCCATTGCAGTAGAAAGTAGAAACTTGCAAATTTTTCAATGGAACAGCTCAAAGTTGCTATATATGTAATGATTTGGACGGCGATAAAGATGTTTATAAGCCCGCTCCCTCTCTTTTAGTATAGATAATATTGTTTGTTAAAAAAAATGTGAACTGAATATATAAAAAGTAAAGAAAAAGGATACACCTTACTTTTTGTTTGTTTATCTGTATTTTTTTTTTGAACAATCAATATTATCTACACAAAGGGGGAATGCATGGGCTTAACCTCACAATGGGCTAACAATAATGTGGTTCAAATTCGTTTTTGGTGAAAATCGAATTTAAGACCTCTTACTTACAAGTGAAAAAGAATACCACTAAATCGTAATACTAAATAACTGTTTATCTGTATTTTTAAATGCATATATATTCACTTGAACGCTGCATTTGCAGTCAACAAGTTGAAATGTAAGTATTTCAATACTTAATAAAGCCGATTTTGAAACGTGTACTAATTGTCGGCTGGCCTGGGAGCATTCGTGTACTAGTAGTATCACTGTATCAAATCATAGAAAACATATCCAAATTTTGATTTTAATATATATTCTTTGTCCCTCCAAAGTTATAGCTATATAAACACCATATAAGCACCATATGCATAAACACACAAAGTTGGTGTGCAATGGCAATGGCGATGGGGCGGCTTCATCAATAAATTTGCTAAAAAGTGATGAGCAGAGGCAGCAGCACACCTACAACTACAAGTACTACTTCTTGTTCACCGTCGTCATCCTTGTCACACTACTACTCACAGTCGTTAAACAGTTGAAGAGAGATCTCACCACAGATATTAAGCTTGGGCTTAGCTTATCACCCTCTGCAGCGTCCCAACGAGTACAACACAACCCCTCTCAGTCTCAGTCTGCCGAAAGGTATATATTATTAATCATAATGAAGTCCATTCCATATTACCACCTAATATTAATTAGTAACCCCTGTCACTGGCCTTCTATATAACAGGGGGAGAGCATCGGAGAAGAATTTAATTGGGCCAGTTATTCAGAAGATGAATGCAGCGACAGCAGATGATGAACACAATGATGTTGAGAGCAGCAGCAGCAGCAGGAACACAAGAAGAAGACTGTATGTCAAGGTTTACATGGAGGGGCATGCCATTGGAAGAAAGCTGGATCTATTAGCCCATCATGGTTTTCATGACATGATACGGACACTCGAACACATGTTCAACACCAACATTCTCTGTACTTACCCACCTCTAACTTCATTATATATGTGTGTATATATCATACATATTGCATAACAAATATTTACAATAACAGGGGGAGATGATGTGGACAGAGTGCACTCTGGTCATAACGATCTTCATGTTTTGACATATGAGGACGAGGAAGGGGATTGGCTCATAGTCGGTGACGTTCCTTGGGAGTAAGTCTATTTCACCAATTCATTATCTCAATCCATCTTCTTAATCGCTTCCTAATTCCCACTTAGTTTTCAGTCACAATATTTCCTGTCCTTGTGCTTAATTTGATTCTACATCAATTTTATGCGTGCAGGATGTTCTTGTCCGCAGCGAAAAGATTGAAGATCACAAGGACTTTTCCATGATGATTTTCAAATCATCCATCTTAATTTTTCCTCCAAGGACAAGCTATAGAGCCTGTAGTTTTGAAAATAGGGTGGGCAGCTAAGTGCGGAGTGACAATGGGGGTTACTGGTAGGGTGTTGGGCCTTAGAATGTGCGTTTTTGAGGCCCACGTGTGACCTCTATTTGTTATAGTGAAATGCTGCGGGCAGTCGCCTACGCCAGCATGCATCTATCGTTTATCACATCTCATCCCTTACGAGAGAGAGATTTTGTGTATGACAATATGTTTCACAAGCACAGAAGAAACTGTAGTTTGATATTTCTTTAGCTCATTAAAATAAAAATTAGACCTGGGAGTAGTACCGTATGAGGCACGTAATGAAAAATACAACAAGACTCTTCAACAAGCTGATAAGTCCTATACAAACAATACTGCATGTGATTATATATGCAGTTAGGCACACTTTTAATCAGTAAGTAACAGTATCATTAGTGACATATTTGCAGAAGCAGCTGCCTAAAAATGAGGACAACTTAAAGAGGAAGGCAAATGCAAAATTACTCACAACTGACTAAAACTCGGGTATCCCTGTTTATGATCAATCGTTCTCATGGAAATTGACCCTGCATTTCAGTGATGGATAGAGCACAGCATGGTTGTTGTACTCGTTATTATTGTCATCAGGGTAAAAAAAACATTGTTTCTCACCTGATGTTCTTTTCCCAAAGCAACAAAGGCCCGCTCTTCTCTAGCAAGGAAAGGTAGATCCCTTCCAACCCACCCTGCATTTCAATAACATTTAAAGGTACTCCCTTCGTGAAATGAGAAACTACTTAACAATTAAGTTCAAATGCAAGATCCAAGAATTTTCCAAGTTTCAAGAGAGAGCTATCCAATCAAACAATCAACTATTTGCAAAATCAGAGACATATAAGAGATTTCTTAAGCTAAACTGATTGATTCTCAATGTCAAGATGATGCATCCAGCAGTCACCTATGCAACAAATTTTATTTATTTTTGTTGCAAAATTGCACTAATTTAGAAGACCAGAATTTTTTTTTTTTTTTTTTTTTTTTTTTTTTTTATGAAAATTGCATAACAATATCAACGAATGTTGAATCAATTACTAAAGTAGGCTTTAAATTGGTTTTCATTGTACATACCAGCTCACAATAGGAGCCACATACAAAATTCTTTGATCAAATAAAGCGTGAAAGATAAAGCTTCTCTGGGAGACATCATCGTCAAGTTTGTTGTTCTGAGGGAAACTGCACACTGGAGAACGTCACCAAACTAGTTAGCTGATACATTTCCTTTGCATGCAAATAAATCCAAGAACAAGCACTGCTCTCACATAACATTACGAGATTATAATTTGCTCACTACCAGCATATAATGTACAAGTACTTCCTATCACATATTCAATTAAAACATAACAAACTAAATGACAAATATATGGGATAAACTCTTAAAACTCATCCCACAAGCATCTTCCTTTTTGATGCTTCAGTACCTGTTCAGGAAGCACATGACATTAAGCATAAAACTCAACCCAATGCAAACAACCTAAGAAGAATAATAGAGCAAGACAACTAAATCAAAAGAACCCAATTAAAAGCTCCTCCGAAACCACTCAAATCTGCAAAGGCACAAGGCACAGATACCTCATCCTTCCAATACTATTCGATCAGCTCGTCGTCACAATACCAGTTGCCCATTTTTGAAGGTCATGTCAATCTTCTTGTGAACTACCTAACAGAACCCAAGCTATTCCTAATCTGTATATCTTAAATCGGCAATTCAAAAGACATATAAGGATGCCAACACTGGCTGCAAATAAAAACTCCAAGTCTCATGACACAGTTGCACAATGTTTCCTAAGGTCTGTTTTCTCTATGTTCCATACATAAAGAGAATGCAGATTCATACATACATTTTCAGTCAACTTTTCCCAAAAGAGTTGAATTATTCATTTCTATAAGTTCTTTTAAATCCATGAAAATTACCTTGCCACCTATAATTACAAAGAAATAAGTTGAAGGAGAAAAAATGTAAGGGACAGAGTAATGCAATCCCATAAAGCACGGCAAAACAAATGTATAATATAGGAACCTTAACGGGAAAATCTATGGAAGTAGTGGAAGTTATGGTGAGGAGAAGGATAAATATTATGTGCCTACAAGAAACTAAGTGGGTTGGTAGTAAGGCAAAGGATCTAGAAAACTCAGGGTTTAAACTTTGGTATTCGGGCACAAATAGAACGAGAAACGGTGTTGGCATCATCGTGGACAAGACCTTGGTACAAGATGTTGTAGATGTCAAGAGGGTAGGAGATAGAATCATGGCAATCAAGATTGTAATAGGACAAGAACTTATCAATGTGATTAGTGCGTACGCACCTCAAGTAGGGTTGGATACGAGTTCGAAAGGAGAAATTTTGGGAAGATCTTGGAGACTTGGTGCAAGGAATTGCTCAGACGGAGAAGTTATTTATAGGAGGAGATTTAAATGGACACGTGGGCAGGGAGACAGGCAACTATGGAGGTTTTCATGGTGGCCATGGTTTTGGGGAGAGAAACGAGGATGGGGAAGCTATCTTGGATTTTGCAATGGCATATGATCTCTTCTTAGCCAACACCTTCTTTAAGAAGAGAGAAGAACATGTGATCACCTACAAGAGTGGGTCGTCAAAAACACAAATAGATTTTCTTCTAATGAGGAAAGGGGATCGTATAACTTGTAAGGATTGCAAAGTTTATACCAGGAGAGAGCGTGGCTAATCAACATCGCTTGTTGGTGATGGATGTACATATCAAAAGAGTAAGACAAAAGAACAAGACTTGGAAGTGCCCAAGGACTAGATGGTGGAATCTAAAGAAGAAAAACAAGCCATTTTCAAAGAGAAGGTAATCACCCAATGTGTGTGGGATAGAGAGGGGGAAGCTAGCCAAATGTGGGATTCCATGGCTAGTTGTATCCGAAAAGTAGCAAAAGAGGTATTAGGAGAGTCCAAGGGCTTTGCCCCACACCAAAAGGAATCTTGGTGGTGGAATGAGGAGGTACAAACAAAGGTGAAGGCTAAGAAGGAATGTTGTAAAGCCTTATACAAGGAGAGGACCGATGAAAATGGTGAAAGGTATAGAAAAGCGAAGCAAGAGGCGAAGAAAGCTGTCAGAGAAGCTAAGTTAGCGGCTTACGACGATATGTATAAACGACTAGATACCAAAGAAGGAGAGTTGGATATCTATAAACTATCTAGAGCAAGGGAAAAGAAGACAAGGGACCTAAACCAAGTGAGGTGCATCAAGGATGAGGATGGAAAGGTTCTTGCTACAGAGAACGCGGTTAAAGACAGATGGAGAGGTTATTTTCATAATCTTTTCAATGAAGGACATGAAATGAGTGCTTCTTTAGGGGAGTTGAGTAACTCAGAAGAGTGTAGAAACTACTCTTTTTTATCGTCGAATCCGGAAGGAAGAAGTGGTTGTAGCTTTGAAGAAGATGAAGCATAAAAAAGCAATAGGCCCAGACGATATACCAATCGAAGTGTGGAAACTTTTGGGAGAGACAGGTATAACATGGCTCACTGACCTTTTCAATAGGATTTTGAAAACGAAGAAGATGCCAAATGAGTGGCGAACGAGCACTTTGGTGCCTATCTACAAGAATAAGGGCGACGTACAAAATTGCATGAACTATAGGGGTATTAAGCTAATGAGTCATACAATGAAGCTCTGGGAGAGAGTCATTGAGCATAGATTGAGGCAAGAGACACGGGTTTCGGACAACCAATTCGGGTTCATGCCAGGGCGCTCAACCATGGAGGCAATCTATCTCTTACGAAGATTGATGGAAAGATATAGAGATGGGAAAAAGGATTTACACATGGTCTTTATAGATTTGGAAAAAGCGTATGATAGGGTCCCAAAGAGACATTCTTTGGAGGATTTTAGAGAAGAAAGGAGTACGAGTAGCATATATCCAAGCTATAAAGGATATGTATGAAGGAGCAAAGACTGCCGTAAGAACTCATGAAGGACAAACCGAAAGCTTTCCCATAACTGTAGGATTACATCAAGGCTCATCCTTAAGTCCTTACCTTTTTGCGTTGGTAATGGATGAGTTAACAGGACATATTCAAGATGATATTCCTTGGTGTATGCTTTTCGCAGACGATATAGTGTTGATAGATGAAACTCAGGAAGGGGTAAATGCAAAGCTTAACCTTTGGAGAGAAGTGTTGGAATCTAAAGGTCTTCGCCTAAGCCGATCAAAGACAGAATATATGGAGTGCAAGTTCAGTGCAAATGGAGGCCAAAACGAGTTAGGGGTGAGGATCGGAGATCAAGAAATACCAAAGAGCGACCGTTTTCGTTACCTAGGATCTATCTTGCAAAAGAACGGAGAATTAGATGGAGATCTCAACCATAGAATACAAGCTGGATGGATGAAGTGGAAGAGTGCATCCGGCGTGTTTGTGTGACCGCCGTATGCCACTGAAGCTCAAGGGAAAATTTTATAGGACGGCAATAAGGCCGGCGATGCTGTATGGCACAGAATGTTGGGCGGTGAAACATCAACACGTACACAAAATGGGTGTGGGTGTAGCGGAGATGAGGATGCTTCGTTGGATGTGTGGGCACACGAGAAAGGATAAGATTAGGAATGAGGATATCCGGGGTAAAGTAGGAGTAGCCGAAATTGAAGGAAAGATGAGAGAAAATCGGTTACGGTGGTTTGGACATGTGCAAAGAAGGCCTACTGACGCTCCGATTAGAAGATGCGACTATGGGACAGAGGTTCAGGGCCGAAGGGGTAGAGGAAGACCTAGGAAAACTTTGGAAGAGACTCTAAGAAAAGACTTAGAGTACTTGGATCTAACGAAGGACATGACACAGGATCGAGCACAATGGCGTTCTAAGATTCATATATAGCCGATCCCACTCAGTGACTTGGATTTTCCAAGTCTCCAACCGAGAAGTTTTCCTCACTCGGGAAATTAAGGGAACACTACCCCAACCTACATGCTCCACTCAGAAAGCTTCAACATACAAGCTTCAACAAAAGAAAATTCAAAGAACTTAGCGAAGAAGGCTTTGGTGTATTTAACACAATACGTTGAAATGAAGGAAAGCTTATTTATTGATATCCCCGATAAGCTACAAAATATGTACATATACATGAGTCAAAATAAACACACAAGAGGGAGCCTTCACAAAGGTTGCTTAGGAGAAGTCTCAGCAGTCGGTAGAGCCCCAGAAAGAGAAGGCACCGGAGGGGGATCATTTGGAGCCTCAGTACTGGACAGAACCCTAGAAGGAGGAGGCATCAGAGGTTGATCATTTG